TCAATTTTGGATCGATTCTTTTACATTTGAGCAAAATCGATGTTTAGGGAATAAGATTGATTAGTTTTATAGTGATGCACGTGACGTTTACATTCAAATGATCAGGCGTGTGCAAATGCCGACCCAAATAACACGCCGCTCAACAAGCTGTCCCAACTGAAGTCTGACGTCTGGAACCATTTTGGATTTAAAACAGCTATGTGCTGGATGTGTGAAATTAAGGTGACTTCCCACTACATTGATAATGAGTGGCGTCTCGCATCCCGTGCTTAAGGCCACCAAGATTACTTCAGGCCAGACAGCTGGATATATAGCCAATAGTTTGACTGACAATATTAACAAATGGGGGCTGCCCAGCAAACACCCTGTAGTTGTTACAGACAGCGCTGCAAATATGGTTTGTGCAGAGAAGATAATGCAGCTTGTGCATGTCTGCTGTGTCACGTCTGCTTGCTCGAGTAAGGCTTCACTTTTCACCAACAAGTTTGCACTTGTATACAGTTTTGTGAACCGTTTTGTTCACATTTCAAGTTTAAACTGTCTGATTTGCAAGTTTGCACTTTGTGTTTAATATGACAGGAAAAAATTAAATACATGATGATTTTAAAACACAGTTGAACCAGTTCCATTATTGTAAAAACAGATCGAATCGAAATGAATCGATTTAGAACTGTATGAATCAAAATCAAATCGATTCAGGACTTTGGCCAAAATACCCAGCCCTATTAACAATGCGCTGGAGGGTCTTTCTGTTCTGATCTCTGAGGCCTCAACGACACACAGTGAGGAAGCTGGACACAATACTCTCGATGGTCCCTCTGTAGAATGTGGTCATGACGGGAGGTACTTGCTTTCTTCAATTTGAACAAGAAGTAGAGGCGCTGCTGGGCTTTCTTCACCAGTGATGCTGTAATGGTGATCCAGGGGAGGTCGTCGCTGATGTGCACCCCCAGGAATTTAGTGCTGCTCATTCTCTCCACAGCACCTTTGTAGTTTGAACTAAAATTTTGGAACCATAAACCCCACCCTAATGATTAAAGGTAATACAAGGGAAACAGTTAAAGGTATAGAGGAGGATTTGCACTTTTTTGACGTGCCCTCTCCACTAAAAAAAAAAAAAAAAAAAAGCTCATGCACAACCCTGTACCCGGTCGCAAAACGGAATGCCTATTAAACTTGTGCAAGAGAATGCACAAGCCCATTTCTCCTCATGCACGCTCTGTTTAAAATTTATTGTTTGCATCACTGATAAAAGCTTACTTTCCAATTTTTTCACTATGTCAGACTAAGTGAAAATGGGGCTGTGGCAATGATATTCACTTGCATTTTGTCGTTGACTCTTCAACATTCCCTCACAGCAAGCATGCGTGCAGGCGACAGGGGAGAGGAAAATGTCCCTTTTAACAGGAAGAAACCTCCAGCAAAACCAGGCTCAGTGTGAGCAGCCATCTGCCGAGACCGACTGGGGTTCAAGGAGACAGAAGAAGAAGCAGATATACAAAAGGTAACTGGTAACTGTCCAAGAGAGACACAGCCAGAGAGACGAACTCAAAGCCAGCACCCACATTAAAGGATGAAAGAGAGCACATACAGTTAGTTATAGTAAGAGAAACAGGACTACTTTGAAATAATACAAATCCACAATCTAAATGTCTTTGTCTGATATTTCAATACAGGATTAAACTTAGAACAGACCAGATGAAGCTATTATGACAAAAAAAAAAAAAGCGGAGAGAACTAGCATGCCCATCCAGAAAGAATTACATGGAGCACAATTCAGGCTGCTAAACCACAGTTAACTCCAGCCAAATGTGGCAAACCAATCAGAGCATGAGAGGCAGGACTTAAACATGCCTCACTCTCAGTGGCTTTCTGCTAGCATAGCAGCAAGATGGCGATGCAACAGAGGAATATTGTAATCATGTCCTTTCAGATGTCTGAAGTGAGACTTAGCCAACATTATAATCTTTACAATGGACATCTTCAGTGTAATTTCTCTTTTAAAACAGACGTATTTGCTACTTTTTGGCTTAATGTATTTCACAGACTACTAAATTACAAAAACAGAGCATGTCACTTGTAGTTTTTGGGTCACATCCTTAATTATCTGATTAGATCTACAGTAACCTGATGACACTGACACTTCTAGTCATGCCTATGAAATCAGCAGCTGTTCCAGCTCTTTACCAGACTGATACACTATCTATAGTGTATGAACAAACACTGTAGAATGAGAAATTAGAGACAGAATAAAACACGATGATTAAAAGTGGTCCATATGTCCTCCAGCACCATAAACGTATAGCATCATAAATATAGACAATAGCTTAGGATAACCTAACTGTTTTGGATGTGCTATGAGAATTGTAAAGCCAAGGAGGAATGTCTGTCTGGACTGAATTCTCCCCCGTCGGATCGTGCTGTTCACTCTACGTCTTCCTACTTCTCTACTCACCCATCGACTGGGAAAACATTACTCTGTTTCCAAGTATAAGCTTTTTCATGGACTAAAACTGGTAGCTGTTTCCACAGGAGAGGAGCCTGATAACTTAAAGTTACTCCTCCCTTTCTAATTTCAGCAATTTTAGGAGCCACTAATAAACCTGCAGATTGAGAGCGAAGTGCTCTGATAGGAACATAAAGAATGATCAAACCTCTGATATAAGATGGAGCTTGGCCATTTAAGGCTTTATAAGTGAGAAGGAGGATTTAAAATGTTATTCTGGATCTAACAGATGGAAGTAAGGATTGAAGACATATGATTTTCCCCTTTAAATTTCATCAGAACTCCGGCTGCAGCATTTTGTATCAGCTGAAGGTTTTTTTAAGTAAAGTAAAAATGCATGGACTAGTTTCAACAAATCACTGTGTATCTTATTAAAACGAGTTGTGAATTCTGCAGATTGTGTAGACAGCTGGAACTCAGCAAAAAAATTAACGCAGCAGCGTTTTCACCAACTCTGCTGACCAGTGACCGCTCTGATATTTTTCACACATCCCTCCTTCCTGTAACATTCACTGCTCCTGACAAATCCCAATACATTCTTTACATCACTGCTATTTCTCACACAGTTTTTCACATTCGTATAAATAGTCCTGGACAACTATAGTTATGATTTAAAGAATTTTTACTAAATGGCACGTTTTTTGTGTAAGGAATCACAAATTTTCTTTAAAGTGAATTTTGACTCTTTAAACATTTATTTTACATCCTTAATGCACATTGTTGGTTCAAAGCTTTATTACTTTGTCATTCCATGGTTGTTAGGAAG